TTAGAAATTTCTATTTCTTGGAGCTTGATCTTCTTCGTTGTCGTCGCCACATGCATAGACATCTGTTTCTTTTGGGGCCGTGGCTGTTGCCCCCCCCCCCCCCTCCCCTGTCCAGGTTTGTTCTGATTTTTCTCATCATTAGATGTAATTCGGGAAGAAAGAGAAAAAACAAAAAGAAAAGAAGAAAATGGCCAGAGATGGTATAGGCTAAAATTCCAAGATACCCTTCCTGCGAAATTCTTTGTTTCTATTCCTCCCCTGCCGAATGGAGGATGGAGATGGCAACGGGCAGTTGTGAGCGTACCATCTTCGGGCGTATATCTAGAAAAAAGATATACAACCTCCCCCCTTTTCCTCTTAATTTTTCTCTCTCCCGCTTCCGACACCTCCACAGGCAGGGGGAATTAATGATCAATCAGATAACTCGGCTATACCTGGTTGCTTGATTAGGTATCTGTTTCCTCTTGTTGTTTCCTACATAATCCCCATCCTGTGAACGAGGAGCTGGCGGAGTCCTATGCAAATAGTCGGATCAAGGAAGGACAACTAAATGTAAGCCTACCTATATATCAAGTGGTTTTGTACAGGACACTTTTCAGTATGTACATGTACATCTCCCAATATAGAATGGCATTCCGCGAGCCGTGGCCCCGTGACTCCGCTCCGCCCAACGCGGGTTCTTGTCACGCGTTTCCCCCCCCCCCTCCCCTTTTTTTTCCGGCTCTTCTACTTCATTCTTCCTCCGCCACGTCGCTCTCTCATCTTCACTCGACACGCCTCTCGTCTCCTCGTTTTTACACTCGTGCAGTCTTTTCATCGCACATATCATATCTACTTACGTTTACAGGTGTCTACATTTAGTAGTCCCTTGCCCCTATTGTTCAGCATAGTTAGGGGGAACAGCACGTAAAGAGAGGACAGAGGGCGACTTATATCTACAGGCGATTGCAGCATACTAACAAAGGTTGGGCTAAGAGACATTACATCAAAATTACCCCTATATCATTCATTCTGCGCGTTGCACACGAAAGCAGCACGATAAGAAGTGCGCGCAGGTGATGACCTTGGCAAGATGTTCTACAGCCATGAGAGTGAGTGCTTTTTCGCAATTCGAGACACCCCGATTTGTTGCTCTGAATCCGCATTCACTGCAAATTTTAGCAGTTGGGAACGCGATGGTTGGACAAACGTGTTATTTTGAAACCGCTAAGAAAAAAGGGCGGGGGCGGGGATTTCATGTGTGCGCAGTATCACATACTCTGTGAGAGAAGACGGAACATATTGCTGATGAAATGTGTGCCTGACGTGCAGTCCTCACGTCCCGCGAGCATGGCGTCGCGACGGTTTGGTAGGTCGATGCTATTTAATCCCGGTTCCTGTCCCGTTTTTCGTTCGAGTAGTCGTGTGTTGGATTTACTCTATTGCATATGTCTATGCATTTTCTCCCTTGATGTCAAAACCCCCTAACTGATGCGTTGTACTATGAACACTACATTTACAGGCTCGTTGCGACCCTCGGTGCAAAATCTGCGGCGAGAAAAGTTAATCGCAGGGCCATTCTTGATGTCGATGTCCCCAAAGCTTGCGAAACTATCATACGTCCAGAGGCACCGATGGCCTTGAGGTTACAGGGCAATTTACTGTGAGTTTAAGGAGGGAAATCCTATCATCACTCTGATATTTATGCCAGTTGGCCTTCTACTAAATGGACTGGGGCTTCGATTTATAGATACGGGGTTTCGAGAGTGTATCACCAGCAGTGCGGATATGCGTTGATGGACGCACAGGCAATGCGGGATAAGATGCAAGCGATGTTGAGGGAGATCCGTTCAACAGGATTGGATCCCAGTGCTGGGAAGGCGAAGTATGTGACTGTAGCCCCCATTATTCAGGGTTTCCCGTGATCAAGTCCATGGCCTTGTTTGTTGAGATAAAACGTATAGTCAATTACTAACCCATCCATTTCAGACCTAGCCAGCTCGTTCTTCCGGATGACCCTTCCTTTATACCCGATCTAATGCTCCCAGGATTAAACGTAGATTTATCTGTTCTGGACATCTCCTTAGACATCGGATCTCCTCGAAAATCCAGTCTTTTGTCAAGTGTCTTGGCCCCATCGAGCAAATCTAGCCAATTTTCTGATGGCCAGCTTCAGTTAAACATCTCGTCGTCCGATATAGGGGGACATGGTGCTGGTGCCTCTGGGTTCCCCAGTGATATCGGCAGCAGTGTTAGAAAGGAAGCCCAATTTGAGCTTCCAGCTGCCTTCGCAGAAGAGACTGGTGTTTTGCTGCAACCGGACTTCGAGTTCGACGGCGACGGAAATATAGTTGAATTACCAGTGAATCCAACCCCCAAAGATAAATGCATAGCAGTTTCTGGCCGCAGTGCCACCAACGTCAACTCCAGGCTGAGGACAGAGGAAGAGGCAGAGTATCAAGCTTTTCAAGATCAGGTGAGCTCCATTTGACAGTGGTATCTACCGCATGCGCTGACATCCCCCTCCCCTGCTACAGTTCCAGGACCAGATGGTTCTTCACGATGATGTGGAAATAAGGGATGGAGGGCATAGCAACTTTGGTTCCGGCGATCCGGTTTCAATACTCGATTCCGCTGCCGATCCTAACTTCGAGCCGGTGGTTGAGGCATCATCGGAAGCCCCCGAAGTGGAGCAGCGTTTAAGGAAGAGGACTATCAAAACATTGGGATTCGATGACCCCCCAGAATTGAGGAATTCTGACCTAGCACAATGGAATTCAGATTACGCACAGAACATGGCTCTCGCTACAAAACTAAAGCAAAACAATAGGCTTATAACGCTAGCAAAGAAAAATGCTGTATCCTGGGTAATGGGGGACAGAATTTGCTGCGTGGACATTGGTTTGGGTGTTTCGGATTTTGAGCATCCTCTGGACATATTCTCCGGAGAGCAACTGCTAGCCGCATTAACAGGAACCAAAATTCGTACAACCCGCCGCAAACGAAGCTGGGATGAGGACAAATGCGCTGATTCAGGAGATGAGGAAAGAAATGTGCGTATGAGAGGAGCTGCGGAGGATGAAATTGGGAGCGGATATGCAGCTGAACATGACGATGGCTATGGCATCGGATTTGAGGTATGACAGGTTGACCGATATACTCTCTTCAACCGCTGAGTTATTTCCATCAAACTAACAGAGCAATTAAATCCACGGCTCCAGGACATTGAAGTAGGCCGCCATGCGCCCCTGCCTATATACGACGATGCTTCATCCCAGATGCCATGGAATATCACCGCCTCAATCCGAGGATCCCAGCCAGGCTCTTCTATCCACTCTCGTCAATTCCTCCCGAGCGTAGGGGGTTATTCCAGCATTGGTGGACCTCGCTCCATCGCCAGCGGCGGCGGTCATGACGGAAGCGTCATGGGCGGCCCATCAACAACAGCATTAGGAAGGCGCATGGGGCGGATGACAAGCGCCAGTCCCTTGGCCGGCCGCGGGATGATGGGCCCTGGTATGGGGGATATTTCAATCATGGACGACGGGGAATTCGACATAAGATCCAATCTAGGGGATAACATGGACCTCGACAGCTCGGTGACTGGGCGCGGTGAATTGGCTAGCACCCGTAGCCATCATCACGACTCCTTTGAACTCTACGGGCCCTCCGCAGCGGTTGATACGCAAACGGCCGCTGAGTCACAGTGGCTTGCAGCAACCCTTGATCAGGAGAGTGCGAATTTCCTCGACTTTGTCAAAAGTAAAATTGGAGAAGCGGGCGAGAAGAAGGTAAACGCCCCAGCTGCTGCTGCTGGTACTGTTGAGAGCGGCGGTCATGAAAACGATCACGACAATGCTATTGCTCCCACTACTACCGTGGAGATTTCATTTTCCACCCTCCTTCCATCAACAGTCAACAGTCGCATCGTCGCCACGCAAGCACTGCTTCATACCCTCACTTTGGCGACTAAGGGGGCATTGCACGTGAGACAGGAAAAGGGTATTCGATCCGAGGATGGTCAGGGGGAGTTCGGGGAAATTTTCATGTGGCTCGTGTGATGGAGGACTAACGCTATACACGCCCTCCTTCTCACCTTTTATTCTTCGATTGTTCAACTAAGGATGATAAGCGAGTGAAGTGTTCTTTTTCTTTTCGAAACCCGCCTTATTTACGAATAGTGGGAGAAGTTCCCTTTTCCTCCTCTCTCCCCTGGTATTTTCGTCCCTTCTACACAACAAAACCGGTCGCTGAGTACTCTTTTTTAATACTTTCCCGCGTTGTTGATTGTCCTCTCGTAGCTTGCTTAACGAGGCAGGATCCCTTTTAAGTTACACTCCCGTCCCCACTTATCCACTTTCATTTTTTAGCAAGAAGGGTGCATGCATATATCCGCTATTATTAATTTCAGTACTGTTATTTCTGTTATGTATCTACGGTCTTACCTTCCCTATTTAATATGCAAATACAACTATATGCAAATACGGGGCAAGGCACACACACGCAAGCACTGGTGATAATATTTCAAGTTTGATGAGAAATTTTCTGTATTTTCTGTATTTTCGTTTTCTTCTTTTTTTGCTTCAATTTATTTTTTAATTCCCCCCTACTCATTTCGTTTACATCTTCCTACATCGGCTTTACTTATTGTTCTTGCCAGGACTCATGGTTTGATATATACCTAATAGTAACTTTCGTTTAATGAGAATGCATTTTTTCCGGAAGAATTTGCTCGAGTTTCAGTTATTTCTATCTCTTGACTGCCGCGTCCTCAAGATCTGATGCAGGCGCTGGTCACTTAAATGACAAACTTTGTTTTCCTCCCATGTGATCCGTGGATGTATTGTATGTAGTTAAAGCGTACGGTACATGGTACTGTACGCGCATATCCACAGAATTACTTACACTGAAAAATATACCCATACGGTACCCAAATGGATGAATAATGATGTTTTACCAGTGTATTCCCAAGTAAGTTACACCTTTTCTTTACCCTTTCAATCTACTCCGTAGTCAAGCCGTTTACTTCAAAAAAAAAAAAAAAGTTTATAAAGAAATGAACATATATATATATATATATATAAATAATTTCTTGTCGGGCTTGTCAGAATTTGTCTTTTTACACGCAGATAGTCGTTCTAACAATGCAAGAAGGAGATTTCCATTCTATGTATTACTAGAAATCTATCATGCAGTATTATTTATTACTTCCTGTAGGATGTGCTTAGCTCGCGTTGTTTTTGGGAGCTGACGTTGGGGGTCCTTCGGGGGTCACGTATGCCTATGTACAAATTGATATTTCATGTTAGATGATGTAGTTAAATCTATATGGGGAAGGTTGATTCTGAGAAAGAGATCGTGATACGGGAGAGAGAGGAAAAAGAGAGAAGAGAGAGAAAGGTTAAATATGCAGGTAACGGACCTTGGTCATTCCGCCATCAACTACGAAATCAGTGCCGTTTACGAAACTGCTCTCGTCGCTAGCTAGGAAAAGAACAGCTTGAGCTTGCTCGATCGCTTCGCCGAAACGGCCCGTTGGGAAATGGATTTCGCGTCTCTGGCGCTTGGGAATGTCATCGCCCAGCCAGTCTTGCAGGAGAGGGGTGCTGGAGGTATTGTTAGTTTAGGCTCTGTAGTTGTGCTCGTTCAAAATCAAATGATAAAAAAAGAAGAAGGGTGAGTGGTGGAGGGAGGAATTATTTACTTCAAAGGTGCAGGACAGAGAGAATTGAATCTAAATCCCTCACGAGCATGGACGATTGCTAACTCCCTCGTCATTGCAAGGACGGCCCCTTTACTAGCGGTATAAGCCAACTGAGGAGTTGCACTTCCAACCAACCCTACGACACTGGCGGTGTTGATGATGCTACCCTTCTTCTTCTTGTGCTTGCGCAGGCTGAGAACTGCATGCTTGCATCCGTACCAGACCCCCTTGACATTGATATTCTGAGTCAGATCCCATATTTTCTCGGGGGTATCGACGGCATCCGCATCGTCTGCATGCATGATGCCTGCATTATTGAAGATGATGTCGCATCCACCCCACGAGTCCTGCGCCTCTACCATGGCTTTAACATCGGCCTCTTTCGACACATCGCATTTGATGGTTTCGAGCTTGACAGCGTTAGGGACCAGTTGCTTTACTTTGGCGAGTGCTTTTTCAAGGGCGGGCTCGGAGATGTCCGCCATCAGAACGGAAGCACCTTCGCGGGCAAAGAGGATGGTGGTTTCGAGTCCGATGCCGCTAGAAATTGTCTCGTTAGCATGGCTATGTCGTCATTTCCCATAGATCAAGGAGCTTTACCCCGCGGCGCCGGTAATGATGGCATTTTTCCCGTTGAGTCGTCCCATGGCGCCTGATGTTCTTTTTTCTTAAGAATCGAGGCCGGTAATCTAAGAATATGAAGAATTATAAGTTAATATCAATGAAATGAATCACATATCCTCAATTATTAAAACTGTGATCACCCATTCCATTGCGGGATGTGGATCGGGTATAGATAGCCGAATATCCGGGTATGGGGAGCTTACTCAGGAGCCAGGAATTTAGAGTAGAAATGGGCGTAGTCAGCTCTTTTTCTACGTGTCCCCTTCCAGGAAACTTGGAGAGACGCGCACAATGGCCACACAACAAGTAAAGACGAGGGTTGCTGTTCAGGAGGGGAGTGTTGTCACCGCCTGTCTTATCTAATTGACTGAGCACCGAGATACCGCTAAATCAAAACCGGTTAGCTGCTTTCGGCGCCTGAGTTCAACTAACTTACCCGATCACATGATGGCAATCGAAGCCGATGAGGGTCGCGTTTCCGGCAGATGCAACCGCCGGCTAAACGACACCCCATTCTTGATCCCGGCCGACAGGAGAAGTACGAGTGTTGTTGCAATAGCACTGATAAGCGAGTCCCCCAGCCTCCCTGTCTCTCGCGCCAACTTGGGGATCAACTGTGGCTGCTCGAAACCGTGGATTTCCAGCCCGCAAAGCCTTATCCCGTTCCCCAAAAGACGGCCCCTCGATTGCCCCTCCTTCACCGCTTTCGCGAATAACGGTATCGACCGGGGTCGAAATGTCGCCGGAAACTGAGGTTACTCTGGATAATCTTAGTATAATTCTCGAGCAGGATACACAAGTAAAGCTCGCCGGAATCGACGCAGATGGGATCCTTCGTGGGAAACTTGTATCCAAGCGGAAGTTTCTCAGCATTGCCCAAGATGGATTCGGGTTCTGCTCTGTCATATTTGGGTGGGATATGCACGATCATACATACTTCAAGGAGCTAGGGATAAGCAATAAGGAGAATGGATATAGAGACATGCTAGCAATCCCGGACCTGACTAGCTTTCGGAGAATACCGTGGGAGGATAATGTACCCTTTTTTCTGATAAACTTTTTCGACCCGGATACCAAGGAGCCTGTATCGGCCTGTCCGCGCGGATTGTTGAGGACAGCTGCTGAGAAAATGGAGAAGCTGGGCTATAGAGCTATGGCTGGTGGTATGTTGTTTTCACTTTCCCCGCTGATTGCGCCAGAACCTAATGGTCTTTGCTAATTGGCCTTTTCACAGCGGAATATGAATTTTATCAATTTCGCGCGCCTCCGAATCCAAATGCTCTCGAACGAAACTCTTCATCAACAGCTACTTTTCTCAGGGAGAATCCAGTGGATGCTCTCCCACCACTAACGGAAGGGATGTTTGGCTACAGTCTTACGAGGACGGTGCATAATCAGGAGTATTTTTATAGGGTCTTCAACACCTGTCACGAATTTAAGTGTGACATTGAGAGTTGGCATACTGAAAGCGGTCCTGGCGTATTTGAAGCCGTATGTTTTGCATTGAACACACCTTCGTATTGCAATTCCTAACCTTCAACAGGCTCTTGAGTTTGGAGAGATCAAAGAAATAGCTGATCGTGCGGGGTTATTCAAGTAAGTTAAATATTCAGTTCAGCCCCAATGATTCATGAATTTACAAACATAGAAAGCATACGATATGCGAGGAAGACTAACATCCCAAAATCCTAGATACGTTGTGAAATGCCTTGGCAGCAAATATGGAATAACACCTGTATTCATGGCTAAACCACGGCAGGGACTCCCGGGAAACAGCGGACATATGCACGTCTCCCTTGTCTCAGACACGGGGATAAACTTGTTCAGCCGCGACGAACCCGATCCTTCACCCCCATATTCCGATGTAGCATACCTTTCCGACATGGGCAGGCACTTTCTCGCAGGCGTCCTCGACGGCCTGCCTGACATCATGCCCCTTTTCGCCCCGACCATAAATTCCTACAAGCGTCTGGTGGAGAACTTCTGGGCCCCCGTCACCGTTTCCTGGGGTCTAGAGCACCGAGCTGCATCTATCCGTGTCATCACGCCACCCACTTCGTCCCCGAAGGGCACACGTCTTGAGGTGCGGGTCCCCGGTGCAGATGCGAACCCGCATTATGTCCTCGCGGCTATCCTCGCGCTAGGTTGGCGCGGGGTGGAGAAGAAGCTCGCGCTTCCTGTTCCGCCGCTGCCTCGAGGGGCGGAGGTGGGCAGCTCAACCGACCAAGGGGCGCGGTTGGCTAAAAGTCTCAAGGAAGCGGTTGCCGTTTTCACACGAAAGGAGAGTGTTGCGAGGGAGGTTTTTGGAGATGCCTTTGTAGATCATTTTGGGGGGACGAGGGAACATGAGATCCGGCTGTGGGAGGAAGCTGTGACTGATTGGTGAGTCTGGTTTTGATCTTTCTGGGGTTCCCCTTTCTGTTCTTGACTCATATATATTACCTTTGGAAAACGCTAATCACTCCTGGACCATGTTGTAGGGAAGTTAAGCGGTATATCGAAACTGTTTAGAAGGTTGCGTTTCGAGAGAGAGAGGGGCGACGGACGGGGGAATCTTGTTATTGTTAACCTATGAATGTGCTTTTATAGATATACCATCCTGAACATTATTGAGCGACATACACCGTATAAACCGTATGGCCAATTGACATTCCATTCAAAAATCCCCATTCAATGCATGGGTAGATATATTCGTAGTTCATCGTATATTCCTGTTTTCTAGCTCCGAGTTTCTTCAATCACATGACTAGGAACTGCTCTTGTTATGGTTCGGTTCTGTTCTGGCGTGGCTACAACTTCACAACCAACATCCAGAAAATTATCTGACTGCCAATCATCTCTATTATGTTATGGCGTCCTCGAAATTGGAGATAATTTCTCATCCTATCGGCAGTCGACTAAAAGAATATCGCGATTTGTACAATTGTTTGAGTGCTGGGCATTCAGCTTGTGGTGCTGACAAGATCAAGAAGCGACTGCTTCAATTACTGGCAGTTCTACAAACCCATCCTGTTTGTTTTGAGCTTCCTTCTGGCAGAGGACGTGGAACTCTTTTTGATGATATATTGGCCCTTCTTTCAGAAGTTCGCTCAAGCCTATTTGAAATCAATTGTCTACACCCCCTTTTGAAATTGATCCACAAACAATCTGATGAAACAATCTGGAACAAAGTCTATGATGTTGTTACAGAGACTACTCCCCCTCCTCACTTGCCCTTACCTCTCCTCCAAACTCCCTTGCTATGGAATACAAGTAGCTTTGTCAACTCAACTGAGTACAGGAAACATGTGCAGTGTTGAAGGAGAAGCTTGATGCTATGATGTATGTGGATATACCGGGTTTCTACAAGACATATTTTGGAACCATTGAGTGGCTAGAGCCTACAGCCCAGGTAGTTTTTGCAAGATGCAAGGGAGGTGAAGATCCTTTTTACAGTGAGGAGACTGGCTGGAGAGGGTGGCCTGAAGATGCCAAGGAACTAGATGTGTTGCAATGGCTGTCGGCCCTTATTGACAACTTCATAGGGGAGTTTCAGGCTTAGTATGCTTCTTTGAGGAATATGCAGCTGATCAAAAGATTCAAAGAAAGCTACTTGTGCAGCTGTACCAACCCCTCACAGGTTCCACTGCAGACTGCAAGCTGGACATAGGCTTTGTGAACAACTCCAATGCCAGTGAGGATTCCAGCTGCCACTGGTCACAGATCCTGGGCCTGGGAGAGCTGAAGAATGACATCTCATATGATGTCCCATCAAAGGCATGGCTTGACCTGGGGAGGTACATCAGAGAGGTTATGACAGCCCATGACTCCTGCAGTTCTGTGTTGGGTTTCACCCTCTGCAGATCAAAGATGAGGCTCTGAAATTTTGGTCATCTGGGCAGGATAGCTTCCAAGTCATTTGATATCAATAAGAAGGGCTTTCAGTTTGTATCAGTGATACTTGAGTACCTCAGCATGAGCAGCTGATGGACATCGAGATAGAGAGAGACAGCCAGATAGAGAGACTTATTTTTGATGAAGTGGTGAAGCGGGCTCCTTGTGTCACCGGGCGGGCGACGACCTGCTGGAAGGCACATCTAGATGGAGATGAGTCCAGGATGCCTCTCGTCATCAAAGATTCGTGGCAGTATCCGGAGCGCGAGGAGGAGGGAGTGTTGCTGCGGGAGGTAACAGAGAAAGGAGTGAGCAATGTGGCAAGGTACTACCACCATGAGACAGTTTGTGTGAGGGAAAATGACAATGATATCTGCAACACTGTTCAGAGAGGCCTAGATGTCACAAAGTCAGGGAACTACAGAACCAGCAGCTCCAGATCAGTGTTGAGCAGAAAGGGTTCTCATGCTGGGAGAAAGGATGGAGGGAGCGGCGGTGTCGCCAGTCAGAAGCATTACTCCACTTCAATTGATTCATCACTGCGGCCGAGCAAACGGCATTCAATTTCTTCAACAAAAGCTGGTACTCACAACTCAATGCCTAACTGGATTCATCGCCGTGTCGTTGTTCGGGATTATGGAAAACCAATATATAAGGCAAGTTCGAAAGTCTCCCTGCGTGCCGCCCTGGAGGGATGCATTGAGGGGTACAAGGACCTATATAAACAGACCGGCTTGCTTCAAGGAGATATCTCTCCAAATAATCTCATGATCAATGAGGAGGCAGATAATTTGTCATGGAAATCTTTCTTAATTGATCTTGATCTTGCAATCAGGGTGCAGTGGGAGGGTTTCTCAGGAAATCAAGGAAAAACTGGAACACTAGTGTTTATAACAATTGATGTTCTTTTAGCAGATGAGAAACACACCTTTATGCATGCTCTTGACTCATTTTTCTGGGAACTCTTCTGGATATGCATACATTACAAAGGGCCAGGCAAAGGCAAGGTGATTGAAGAGTTTGAGAAATGGAATTTTATGGACATGGAGGCACTAGCAAAAGCAAAAAAAGAGGAGATTTCTGATGAAAGAGATTTCCTTATATCAGGAGAGAAATATTTTACTGAGTACTATCAACCTCTGCTACCTTGGGTTAACAAACTACAGAGAGAGGTTTTCCCTGGTGGGAGCAGATAAAGAAGGCCAGATCCAAACCTGGGTTAATTCATGAGAAGGATACTGCAGGAAGCAAGAAATGATCCAAATGTTATTGGCTCAAATTAAGTTTGTGCGGTCTTCTGCCCAATAAACATCATACCATATCCCCAAGGGCCTGGAAGGAAAGCCGAATATATTTGGAGATTATCCATTGAACAAGAATTAGATGTAATTGATTACGAAGGACGGAGTGAGGCACTTGAAATGCTATATTGGCGCGTTCTAGTTTGGCATTGAGATCTTCCCATTTCCGCTTGCGCCCGCGATTCTGGGCAATCGGTATCACATCATGGCCCATGGTGCGTCTGCCACCATATCAAAATATTTCTTCTCTCATATACGCACAGTAATCCCAGAGCACCATACGAGTGGAATAGGGAACTGTGCACAAGAAAGACAGGCCTACTTGTCCCACGAACAGAGCAATGTGCGCTTTGTTTTGCTATTCTATCTAATAAATTATGGATTTGAAGTTTATAGTGATCAGTGTGTCGGTGACAATCGCTCTGGTAAGGAGCACAGGCCTGTTGTCATGGATCTGCTACAAAAGATGATATTTCCAGAGTTGAACCGGGAGCCAATGATCGACTCCATAATCAGGAGATGTTGGTACAGTGAGTACGAGACAGTGGCAGAATCGACCGCAGATACAGAAAGTTTATGTGGCATGGGCAGTGAGGCTTCCAGGGGCAAGATTGAAGGAGTTAAGTGTTTGACATCCATATCTGCAGACGACTTTTCATCGCGGAGGAAATTGTGTGAGGATTTACTCTGTAGTCAGGTGTTGAATCCCTAAGGCTCTATCTTTGCAGAATACCCGGCAACTTGGGCTCCCAATAAAACGCAGACATGTTTGTTGGGAACTACTGCGGTAGGAAGAGAAGATAGAGCAGGTGTGAGCAGTGTCTTTATGTTTAGTAACAGGCGGCCGCTGTCTAACACATGAGATGTATAATGCAGATGGTTTTGACAAAGCTATGCGCGGCCGAAAACTTCGTCCCTTCGCCGATTTTGCTTCGCGCGTTGGGCTGGAATATTTCGCAGCTGCCATGACAAATAGCGATATAGCGCTGTAGATAGCAATTCCAACCCTACCATCAACAGTTGAACAGCATTTTCACCTACAGAGTATACTTATATAGATCGGGAGCCTATAGGGCGTCGTCCACCTAAGCAGGGGATTTTATCTTCTAGAAGCCGGATAGTTGTATAAAAGAGCAACCGTTTTAGCTTCAGCCCACTCAAAGGAGCTGTTTTCAGCACGAGGCGTAGCGTGCAAGGAATTGGCCTTGGACCGTGAATATTGCTTTTGGGTTCGTCAGTCCGTACAAGGAAGAGCGTCCGTGCTAATAACTATTTGAAGAAGGTTGCTGTGCTAGATTGTTTTCATCACCGATATGTGCAAACGATGCCGGGTGAAAAAGAGAACATGACAATCGCCGGACAGGTGATCTCCTGCATGGCGGATATCAGGAGTTGAAAGGAAGAAGGGTGGAGTTTAAAAAGACAGACAGACACACTTTGACCACCTGAAGTAGCTGTTCCTTCAACGAACGTAACCACTAGTTAACAGTTAGTTAGTTACACATTTTCTCGCGTCTCGTATGTGTCGCACTAGTAATAAAAAACAATAACCATGCTCCAGATACATGTAGAGAGTTGTCAAACTATGAAGACTGCTGGTTGCAATACATGAAGTGGTTAAATAGTAAATAATGGAATTGAACATGAAAAGAAAAGAATAAGCAAAAAGATACAAATTATAAGAGGATTGGAAGGAGTCGAAAAAGGAAAAAAAGGTAAAGGAAAAAAAGGAGGGCTAGGTCTCAGGGTGGATTAGTCACAGCCCTAAGTCATTCGGGGGAAACGAGAAGGAAGCAAAAGGCGCATCAAAACCATGTCGAAAAAAAATAGTAGCAAGCTAGAATTAAAGGAGGATAACATGAGATAAAAGGGAAGATAAAAGTAAATAAAATGGAAAATATAAAAGGTGGCGACGAGACATAAAATAATATCAAAACACAAATTTGAGAATGAGAGCACGATAGGTGGTATTTGTTTGTTTGCGCTCGTAGAAGATCAAGGGAAAAAAGACTAGAAAGTAGATAGACGGGAGAATAAAAAGGATTTTTCAAAGGGAAAAACAAGATATCATCACCCCATCACTAAAGCGCACGGAAAAAACGCATCCCGGGCAAGAGGCCCAGTTTCTCTTAGCCCCGAGAGATCAAATTGAAAATAAATATTAAAAAAAATCGAGACATCAAGACATCGTCCTAAGTTCGCCACTGACACCATCCTGTTTCGACTCAAAAAGACATAGTGAATAGGGGATGGGGAGAGAAAGTTGTTTGATGTAAAATCCTAGCTTTTACCCCACATAGAAAAGCCAAGTAAAAATATAAAATCAAATCACAGGGAACGAATACAAGGATCGTCGCTCGTTCCATTTAGGTGATGCGGAAAGCATCGAAAATAACTGTTCGGTAAAAAAAATAGCGGAGTTAGCCACTAGAACAGATAAAACGCGTTGTCGACTACGAGAGGGAAATATATATATATTATATAATGGTCGTAAAAACGATACAAAAAATATGAGAAGTCTTTGCTTACCCTCTGAGGAACGACGGCAACCACTACCAACCCACATGACAGTGTTGACGAATGCGTAGCGCTCGTCGCCCGTCTCCAAAGATATGTTAATGCGATATTTATAGGTGGTGGGGTTAACGGAGTCGGCCATAGATGGGTCTGCGAGTTTCTCCAAAACGTCCTTTGCGCCCGTCATCCAGCCGGTGGTCTTTGCGACGATGAACGCTGGCGGTTCATCTGCAGTTTGCAACAGGTAGTTTGCTTTAATGTGTGTGGATAGCTCCTTGACGACGACCTGCGAATCTTGTCCTCCGGGCTGAAAATGGTTGGATGCAGTTAGTATATATATTTGGAGAGAGAGAGAAAGAGAGATTGAAAGAAAAACGTCAGGAAAAGGTGTTAAAGGAAGGCTTAATAGTTTACCAGAACAATTCCTTTACCCCATCTTCCCGCCCATTGACCACCAACAAACGTGACCCAGTCTCTTTGTCCCCAGAGGCCCTGTCCAACCGTTACCGTTGGATTTAATTTGAGACTCATACGGAAGTCAAGTTCCAATGTGGGAATAGGGAGCTGGAGAGAGCGGGCAATATCCCCTTCGGGGAACGAGTGTTGGAGGTTATTGGCGGGGATGGAGTCTTTCATCACATTCAGATATGGCGGGCATTCTAGCAGGTGCTGGCGCTGTCGACTCGTATTTTTCGCACGGACTTGTTGACAGTATATGCATTGGACAGAGAGACACTGTTTTTGCAAACTAGTCAGTCTTATACACAATCCAGTATGCGGTTACTCGCGCGAGTGGATCCTACGCACCTTATCCTCTTCCTTCGCGCGGAACTCAACAAAGGCGGCGTGTACATCGTCGAGAGGGGGAGCCGGCAGGCTTGAGGTGCTCTGCCTGGGCTGCTTCGAAGACTTGGGGGTGCTGTGGGCTCGTTGCTGCGCCTGGGGAGCTGCGGAGGATGCGCTAGGGGGAGGAGCAGCTTGCGAAGGGAGAGACGGGCGACTGGAGAGATTCTGCATAGGAGTCTGCAGAGCACTGCTATGAGGGTTAACTCCATTGGCCATCATGGAGCCACTGGCAGAGGGGAGGGTGGCTGTCGCTGACCCAGCACCGGGGCCACCAGCAGGCCCGTTTGGAGCCGCCCCGTAGCCATTGACGGGACCTACGCCATTGGTAGGGGCGGACTGCGGATGGGGAGGATTATGGCCGCGAAGCGCGGGACATTCGAGTAGATGTTGCTTCTGTCGACTCGTGTTCTTTGCTCTGATCTGCTGGCAGTATATGCATTGAACGGAGAGACACTATAGATACAGACAGAGCACCAGCAAAGGGTGGTTTATTATATCTGGTCAGTAAAGTTATTGTTCGTAATTATTATTACCCACGATAATTACAAGCAAATACAGGCAAATTTCACCTTATCATCTTCCTTGGCACGAAACTCGACGAACGCCGCGTGGACCTCTTGGTCAACGGTGCGACCCATCGTATTAATCGAGAAAGCAACGCGATGCGGAAGGAGAAACGACGGATCCAGGAGGGACGACGTCTTGACGGTTAGCAGAGAGTCAGGGGAGGGACAAGACACGGTGCCTGGTGGGCAGCCGGGCGGGCAGAAAGGCGGCAGCAGAGGGAGGAGAGATTATAGGGAAGAGATACAGCGGAAACAAGAGGGCGAGGGAAGAAACAGAGCGAGATAACACACGAGAACGAGGGATACAGGCGGAGACCGAATACAGCAGACGAATACTGCGTACAACACGAGGAAATATTTAGTAAATGCTGGGAAGCGTTTTGGGTGTTTTGGGTGTTTTGGTGTTTTTGAATGTTTTGAACGAGGTCAAAAAGAGTTGAAGAGGTCTGTCAGGTATTATAACTCGGGGTGGGGGTCAGGTTTTATTTCACAGATTTCCGGTTTTTTTCAGCGTCACCTGCCCGCGTTTTCATCAGCAGTGTTCGGCGTATCTTTCGTCATTACAGCGTATTTATCAGTCTAGGGTTGGGTTGGGTAAGAATAGTACCGGGGCAGGTAAAAGCGTAGGACACCGTATTGGTTGGTTTGGGATCTGTGTTGGGCGATGTTTGACTTCTGTATCATCCCATACATACGCCGTACCCTGTTCGATTACCGTCACACATGCAACCGGTTTGTATGTACATACCCCGGTACAGAACCAGTCGTCAGTTTACTCTAGTAAATACCATTCATTCATTTTCTTCTGTACTCCGTGAAATCATTTGCGATATATCTAGTGAGAGAGGGGTGCTAGAAGAAACACAATCCGTGAGACTATCACCTTGCTCCCGTACAGAGTAGTGGCGATCAAATTCAACCACCCCCAAGCAAACGCTGTTTGTTCTGTTGAATTATCTGAAACATAGCGCGTAACTCAGCTGTCTCGTACACAGTAGTCCGTACGGGGGTATGGATACGCCCCTTCCGAATTACAGATCTGGCTGTCTTGAACTTTCCAATACGTCCGTTCCGACGCTTTACCAATACGTATCAATATCCTCTTTCACAGGGCAATCCAAACCTCTTCGCCAGCTCCCCCAACCAAGATACTCTGTCTGTTAGTTAAATGCCGTCAAAGGGATATTTATTCTTTGCACGGCCTACATAGATGAAAATGTTTAATGCTTTCATAAATCAAGGATAAAAAATATGCAAACACAATGCCGAATATTGGATCTTGTGAGAAGTTACAATCACGTGATTTTCTCGCATATCCAGATCGCCCGCTCCACTACCAGGTTAGGAAATTTTCAACGTCACTTTCAATTTAGATAGGATAAAGCTCCTTAACGTATTCGTTGCTGAAACCCATGCTGAGTGAAATAGCAACTCTTGACCAATTCAAACTAGATGGACGCCAGAGCCAGATCAAATCGAATGTTCTTCTTGAACAAATCTGAGTGGCTGAGGGTGGTGGACATTCCCCAACCCGCCCTTGACATTCTCCCTTGAAAGCTCATACCCCGCAGTGCGTGCGATTGCGTTGACGAGAACCCCCGGGGCTTGTGTATAGGCTGGATTAACCTGGCTGACTGTTTCTTGAAAATTTAATCATGCATTCTGCAGAAAATTCTAGTTCTGGTGAGGGGGCAATCACGCCCCCTGATGTTGCCTTTGGGGCGACTCTCCGACCCTCGCTTCTATCATCTAGTAGATCTTCAACAACTTGGATTACTTCCCCGGAACTTAGCAGCTCGGGGGAGAAGTTTTCTCTAGAAGCTTTCCTAGGAGTGACGACCCACCTTCTGGCAAATCCTAACATAAACTGTAGCCATGTTTTCCGAGCCGACATCTTATACGATAGCGCCGATGTTATTCAGACTCAAAGGAGCAAGGAAAGAAGTTATTACCGCCTCCCCTCGCAAACGGTGGATGCTGGTCAAACAAACAGTGATGGTCCATCAACTATGCCCTCGGAATCGTTTTCTGGTTTCCGCCTCAACAGGACCGTTGTAAGACGA